TTAACAGTTTACAGAATGAAGGATGGTTGAAGTAAAGGACACAGGAATCTCTAACACCCCTTAGATAGGTAAACAGGTTATTGAATGAAGGATGGTTGAAGTAAAGGACACAAGAATCACTAATATCCCTTACATAGGTAAACAGGTTACTGGATGAAGAATGGTTGAAGTAAAGGACACAAGAATATCTAACATCCCTTAGATAGGTAAACAGGTTACTGGATGAAGGATGGTTGAAGTAAAGGACACAAGAATCACTAATATCCATTAGATAGGTTAACAGTTTACAGAATGAATGATGGTTGAAGTAAAGGACACAAGAATCCCTAACATCCCTTAGATAGGTAAACAGGTTACTGGATGAAGGATGGTTGAAGTAAAGGACACAAGAATCACTAACATCCCTTAGATAGGTAAACAGGTTACTGGATGAAGGATGGTTGAAGTAAAGGACACAAGAATCTCTAACATCCCTTAGATAGGTAAACAGGTTACTGGATGAAGGATGATTGAAGTAAAGGACACAAGAATCTATAACATCCCTTAGATAGGTTAACAGTTTACAGAATGAAGGATGGTTGAAGTAAAGGACACAAGAATCCCTAACATCCCTTAGATAGGTAAACAGGTTACTGGATGAAGGATGGTTGAAGTAAAGGACACAAGAATCTCTAACATCCCTGAGAGAGGTTAACAGTTTACAGAATGAAGGATGGTTGAAGTAAAGGACACAAGAATCACTAACATCCCTTAGATAGGTTAACAGGTTACTGGATGAAGGATGGTTGTAGTAAAGGACACAAGAATCCCTAACATCCCTTAGATAGGTAAACAGGTTACTGGATGAAGGATGGTTGTAGTAAAGGACACAAGAATCACTAACATCCCTTAGATAGGTAAACAGGTTACTGGATGAAGAATGGTTGAAGTAAAGGACACAAGAATCTCTAACATCCCTTAGATAGGTAAACAGGTTACTGGATGAAGGATGGTTGAAGTAAAGGACACAAGAATCTCTAACATCCCTTAGATAGGTAAACAGGTTACTGGATGAAGGATGGTTGAAGTAAAGGACACAAGAATCTCTAACATCCCTTAGATAGGTTAACAGGTTACTGGATGAAGAATGGTTACTTGATGAAAAGTAGTTGAAGTAAAGGACACAGGAATCTCTAACACCCCTTAGATAGGTAAACAGGTTATTGAATGAGGGATGGTTGAAGTAAAGCACACAAGAATCACTAATATCCCTTACATAGGTAAACAGGTTACTGGATGAAGAATGGTTGAAGTAAAGGACACAAGAATCTCTAACATCCCTTAGATAGGTTAACAGGTTACTGGATGAAGGATGGTTGAAGTAAAGGTCACAAGAATCTCTAACATCCCTAAGATAGGTTAACAGGTTACTGGATGAAGAATGGTTGAAGTAAAGGACACAAGAATCTCTTACATCCCTTAGATAGGTAAACAGGTTACTGGATGAAGGATGGTTGAAGTAAAGGACACAAGAATCTCTTACATCCCTTAGATAGGTTAACAGGTTACTGGATGAAGAATGGTTGAAGTAAAGGACACAAGAATCACTAACATCCCTTAGATAGGTAAACAGGTTACTGGATGAAGAATGGTTGAAGTAAAGGACACAAGAATCTCTAACATCCCTTAGATAGGTAAACAGGTTACTGGATGAAGGATGGTTGAAGTAAAGGACACAAGAATCTCTAACATCCCTTAGATAGGTTAACAGTTTACAGAATGAAGGATGGTTGAAGTAAAGGACACAAGAATCCCTAACATCCCTTAGATAGGTAAACAGGTTACTGGATGAAGGATGGTTGAAGTAAAGGACACAAGAATCTCTAACATCCCTGAGAGAGGTTAACAGTTTACAGAATGAAGGATGGTTGAAGTAAAGGACACAAGAATCACTAACATCCCTTAGATAGGTGACCCGTGAAGATCCGGGGTAGAATAGGTCTTCAGCAACCCATGTGCTTGCCATAAAAAGGCGACTATCTTGTCGTAAGAGGCGACTAACGGGATCGGGTGGTCAGTTTCGCTGACTTGGTTGACACATGTCATCGGTTCCAAATTGCGCAGATCGATGCTCATGCTGTTGATCACTGGATTGTCTGGTCCAGACTCGATTATTTACAGACCGCCGCCATATAGCTGGAATATTGCTGAGTGCGGCGTAAAACTCAACTCACTCACTCACTCACCCTTAGATAGGTTAACAGGTTACTGGATGAAGGATGGTTGTAGTAAAGGACACAAGAATCCCTAACATCCCTTAGATAGGTAAACAGGTTACTGGATGAAGGATGGTTGAAGTAAAGGACACAAGAATCTCTAACATCCCTGAGAGAGGTTAACAGTTTACAGAATGAAGGATGGTTGAAGTAAAGGACACAGGAATCTCTAACACCCCTTAGATAGGTAAACAGGTTACTGAATGAAGGATGGTTGTAGTAAAGGACACAAGAATCTCTAACATCCCTTAGATAGGTTAACAGGTTACTGGATGAAGAATGGTTACTTGATGACAAGTAGTTGAAGTAAAGGACACAGGAATCTCTAACACCCCTTAGATAGGTAAACAGGTTATTGAATGAAGGATGGTTGAAGTAAAGGACACAAGAATCACTAATATCCCTTACATAGGTAAACAGGTTACTGGATGAAGAATGGTTGAAGTAAAGGACACAAGAATCTCTAACATCCCTTAGATAGGTTAACAGGTTACTGGATGAAGAATGGTTACTTGATGAAAAGTAGTTGAAGTAAAGGACACAGGAATCTCTAACATCCCTTAGATAGGTAAACAGGTTACTGGATGAAGGATGGTTGAAGTAAAGGACACAAGAATCACTAACATCCCTTAGATAGGTAAACAGGTTACTGGATGAAGGATGGTTGAAGTAAAGGACACAAGAATCTCTTACATCCCTTAGATAGGTAAACAGGTTACTGGATGAAGGATGGTTGAAGTAAAGGACACAAGAATCTCTAACATCCCTTAGATAGGTAAACAGGTTACTGGATGAAGAATGGTTGAAGTAAAGGACACAAAAATCTCTAGCATCCCTTAGGTTAACAGTTTACTGGATGAAGGATGGTTGAAGTAAAGGACACAAGAATCTCTAACATCCCTTAGATAGGTTAACAGGTTACTGAATGAAGAATGGTTGAAGTAAAGGACACAAGAATCTCTAACATCCCTTAGATAGGTAAACAGGTTACTGGATGAAGAATGGTTGAAGTAAAGGACACAAGAATCTCTAAGATCCCTTAGGTTAACAGGTTACTGGATGAAGGATGGTTGAAGTAAAGGACACAAGAATCTCTAACATCCCTTAGATAGGTAAACAGGTTACTGGATGAAGGATGGTTGAAGTAAAGGACACAAGTATCACTAACATCCCTTATATAGGTTAACAGGTTACTGGATGAAGGATGGTTGAAGTAAAGGACACAAGAATCTCTAACATCCCTTAGATAGGTATACAGGTTACTGGATGAAGGATGGTTGAAGTAAAGGACACAAGAATCTCTAACATCCCTTAGATAGGTAAACAGGTTATTGAATGAAGGATGGTTGAAGTAAAGGACACAAGAATCTCTAACATCCCTTAGATAGGTTAACAGGTTATTGAATGAAGGATGGTTGAAGTAAAGGACACAAGAATCTCTAACATCCCTTAGATAGGTAAACAGGTTACTGGATGAAGGATGGTTGAAGTAAAGGACACAAGAATCTCTAACATCCCTTAGATAGGTTAACAGGTTACTGGATGAAAGGTAGTTGCAGTAAGGGACACAAGAATCACTAGCATCAGTCAATAAAGCTTCTAGATGTTTATGTTACCAAAATCCTGGTTCAATATACTTTTATATTTAGTTTTTTAAAGCAGGCATGAGAAACTGAATAGATGTCCTTGAGAAGGTTTCATGTCAATGAAGGCAGGATTGAATTAATGCGTCTTAAAAATTCCCCTGAAAATAGGAATTGTTTTCTAAAAGTAACAAAATGTAATTTAAAATGGTATCTGATGGTATTGCTGTTGCGTCCGATTCAAAGAGAGTATGGTCTTCAGAAGTGAAAACAGGTTCCATCTTGTTGTGTTTCATCAGAGACCATATAATAATTATATGGTCTCTGGTTTCATCATAGTGTTTATGTATTTACTTGTTGAAGATGCAGAACACAAAAATTATATTAGAGTTAATTTAAGGGTATCTTTTAAAATATCATTACTGATTAATTATAGTCGTATAAACTGAATCAGGTATTCTTGATTTCTTTTGAGTAGTGTATAAAATATTTCATTTTGTTCCATGTTTATTGTAATTACAGCAATACAACCCTTGTTACGAATAATTAAACAAATACAGCATGTCAGAAACATAAATGTAACAGAACTTTGTAAAGTTAAGTGTTTCTTAATGTTCTGATTTACAAAACCTTTGCCTGTAGAAAGGTAAAATATGTTCATTAACAACTAACACGGTAGACATTCTTCCCATACCTGAGCGGACATTGTTTGTCAACTTGCAAAACCTTGGTGGAAATAATGTCATAAAAGAGAGGTTTAACACTTGCATCTCATCAAAAAATGACATGACACAAAATGGCCATAATTGTTTCATGTTCATACCTTTGCTAAATTGATGTCAGATTCAATAGTCAAGCAGGAAAATAAATCAGCGTTGCCTCAAGTTGTTAGTTAACCATGCATAACTAAACATGCAGCCATTCCCTTAATTCTCAATAAACCTCTTTGCATTACAAGCCCTTGTCATCAAGGCTACTGGCTTTTCGACTGTTCATTACGGTTGTCAATGAAGTGTATTAAGTAATAATTAGTAATCACATTCTGTTTCCTTCATGACGTACAATATCAACACCGTATCACCCCTGGATTCTGTAAGCCTAACAAGATCTGATTGGCTGGTTGGGCAGTCGGTAATGTGTACGAGGATATAAGTTGTGGGAAATGACTGTTCTCAACATACAAGTCTTACAGCCAAGCCAAGCAGTTGTGTGTGTCCAGTACAAGGCAGTTGGTGCATCTGTTGTTGTTTTGTCTCAATCAGAACGGATTAATTGCCATATTACAGGTACTGTTTCCCATAAGGAATTTTTCAAGTCTATAAAAGTTTGAAGCATTTTTATGTGATTCTACAGAAAGTTCTCTGGGTTTGTTTGAGACATACTCAACATGAGGTGTATTTTAGAGAAGTAGTTTTGTTCGCTTACTTACATTTCTTGAAGGTAAAATTGGGTAATAGGTATTTTTAATTTATTTGTAATTAATTCATATATTTTTTGTACTAAGCTTTCAAATTAAAATGTTTCCATTCGCATGATAGTAACTTTTCTTTTTGATATAGAAGATGCTTAAACTTTTATACATATGCTTCATACAAAGCTTAAGTATATTACACCATAACATCTAACTAATCTTTGCCTTAGTTGTGAACACCTGGTGTTATTGTTTTTCAGTGATCAATTCAAACCATTGTCACCACTGTTTTACCTTTAAGAATCAGTTTCACCAGGTAACCATCACTGATCAATCTCTGGCTTTGAATTCTTTTCAATTTAGCAGCAAACCATGTTTCGTAACGCAATGAAGCGTAAAAGTTCCCTGTCTATTAAAATATCACGAAGTGTTCATCAAATCAAAGAATTCCTCAGCAGAAACAAATTCAAACTGATGTAGCTTTTGTATTATCATCTATCAATTTGACTTTACAATTGGAAAATTTAATCTTGAAAACTTTTCACAAAACATTCAATTGTATTTGGAAGTAAACATTTTCTTTGACATGAAGGTATGTTTAAAAATGAAATAGTTTCATGGAGAAGTTGCTGAAGTTATAAGATCTTCTTGATTTCAAAATGACATAGGTTACCATCAGGCAGATAATTACCAATGTGTCCTTCAATCTGGCATAGAAATTCATTTTGACCATGATCTGTAAAAATGTCCTCCCTCTCTTAATTAGAACATAATTAGCTGTCATGACAACAGTATCATCATCAGCCAAACAACTTAGCAGATTCACAGTGGGTTTTCTGGGTTTGTCAATTCTGGAACAGATGGGTTGCAAGCCTTGTCCATGACATCTTGGCAGTCATTGGCATTTGTGTTTACAGATATGAAAGTGGATAGTTATGTAAGTAAATGATTTTGAAGATATACATTGAAAATACCATAACTTTTTTCAAATTTCATGGATATAAGATTTTAAAATATTCCTAATATGTATCATTACTAATTTACTACTAGTAGTGAACGTTTAAAACCAACTAAAGTGTCTTTCAGAAGTAGACCCCCAAAAGAATTTAAGAAAATATACTTTCCTTTCAACCAACAAATCAGACATTTCACCTTAAGCAGAATAAAGGACACAAAAAATAAAGGCTCAGTCCAACTTAAAATATATTCAACATTGAAATATTAATGTGTACAATGTTTAAACATTACGGTGTGTAGGGTCCATCTTTTGACAAGCAAAACATTCAAAGTAGAACATCATTACGCTTTAAATAAAAGGAGTTTAGAGGGTTTTTTTAGAAGTCACAAATCGCAAAATTGTAGTAGGCATGATAAAAACGTTTCAGTTTGACAGTAATTTTTACTTTCTGGTATCATGTTCACCTTTGCAGTCTTAAGGAAATTAGTTTTTCATAGTAAACCACTACCATTACTTCCCTAAAGACTAAGTGAATGGATGCCTATACTGTGTTAAATGTGTTACACAATCATTAAGTGGGCTTGACATTCTCAAACACTTGTGAATAAAGGAGATTAGTTTGATAATGATAGGATTTGTCAAATAATCCTTTCAAATTGGCTGAGAGCTATGGGATTAATTCAGTCACTGATATAATTTGCAACTGCATGATGTGATTTGTGAAAGCCAGCGGAATGAGTTAAAGGCTTATTACTACCCTAAAGATCTGTTTCAAATTTAGAATTCAAACCTTGTCAGTGAGTACTTGAAAAACATCAACCCTGCTTAAGTATTTATCAGTCGTTTTTTAGATAATTTTCTCATTCATGATATGCAACACGGTTTATTGTTTTCAACTTTTTACTTATTTTTTTAGAATGTGTTTCATCAATTATAAGTGTTTGTTAATGTTTTTGTCAAATTGATGTTTCTTTTAAAATTACACCTTACTCAAATCCACATAATGAATGATCCCTACAGAGATCCCTATAGCAACATAATAGACGATATAGACAGCTATGGTTAAGAAAATGGATTAAATACTCCTGATAAAGTTCATGAACGCCTACATGTTTCATATCACGGACATAAGCCATGTAGAATATTTGGAGCACAATGCACCATAATTCAAGCGCGGATATTTGAGCTGCCCGGAAACTTTTAGACATTCCATATTTTTCAAAAATCCCTGATGAAGTGAACAGCTAAAGGTTGTTGCTCATTTGCTACAAATATTTCACAATCAAAGCACCTAAAAAGTTCAATAATATTTAAACCGATGGCTGTTTGTAAACATACAGTTATTCTGATACGGAAAAACAAAAAACATCAAAGTAAGTATATTACCCATTCTCGTTGGGGTATATCTTTGAAGGGTTCAACTAAATACAACTTAAATCTGTCTCAATGTCTTTTCGGGTTTCAGCCCCTAAACAATAACAAAACACAACCGTCTCAAAATCAAGGCATGAATACGTACATAAAAGTCTCCCCATTGTACGAGGTGCCAATTCAGTGAGACATTTCATCATAGCCAGGCAACGAAGGACATTTACCAATTGTTACAAACCTAATGTGATATTGGAATACACTATTTCCAATATCCTATGTGATTTATGTGTGTTTTCCCAATGCAAAACCTTGATGCTTAAAGTAAATGTTTTTAGATTATTCTGGAGGAAGGTATGTTTTTTCTTTGTCTTGGTGATGCAGGTTGAAATAATCCTCAGAACATATTTACATTAAGTGGAGGAGCTGATTTTTTTAAGCCTTGACCTTTATTGTTTAATTATTGATTTCAGTCTTTATCTGGTAGGTAAAAAGTGTGAATATACTAATTATTAGAAGTTAAGAAACATCTAATTTTTTTATGTGACTGTAGTTACTCTAATGTTTTGTTTTTTTCATATTTACGTAACTGTATGTTTACAAAATAACATCAGTTTATATCATTTAACTAGAGCTTCTATTGTGAAATATTTGTAATGGATGTCCATCAACATTTGACATTTAACTTTCTCAGGGATTTTGTGAAAAATCTGAAATGTTTAAATGTCATAACTGATTAAATATAGCATATTAACAAATCAAATGTTCTTTAACTCTTGAGCAGCATATCTTAGTAGTGTTGACATTATAAGTTTTGACAGATTGTTGTTTGTTTACCTTGTATGATGCAAGGCCCTTGTATAATTGCCCAAAATCTGTCATTGGGAAAAATAGTTTATTATTTAATGTATATTTTGAAAGTTCACATATTTTTACATGTATTCATGAGAAAACAAGGAAATATTTAATTATACTAAATATTTGAGAATATAAGTTCACATCACAGGAATGAGTGAGTGAGCTATCAAATTATTATAAAAATTTTAAACTTCTTGTGAGCATATCTGTGAACAAAATAATTATGAATTAACTCCTAAACATCAACAACTTATGTGTCACAATAACACTGACATAATTAGTTCAACTCCATTTCCGGGAAGAGGCCAAGTGAATCATTCTATAAATACACATGGATGATAAACTCATTACTGACTATTATGCCTCTAATTCCAGCATAAAAAAACAACAATCTGTAGCCAAGAGGGATAAGTAAGTCATAATCCGCTTGTACGGATTAGTAACCATGGTGATTAACCATCCCGTAGTATGTGCTGTGGTGTTGGTCGTAGCCATGGCCCTATAGGGATTGGGTTGTAATCTATATAGGCTGTATGTAATAGGAACACATTGATTTCAAGGCTATCATTTGCCAAGTTGGGTTAAGGAGTGTGTTTCTCTGGAGTACGGTACGTTTGATGGAAAAGCTATATTGGTGATTTACAGGACCTTACGAAACTGCCTGGCAAAGGAATATACGCCCATGTTTGTTGGTGAGTGAGTGAGTGTGGTTTTATTCCGCTTTTAACAATATTCCAGCAATATCACAGGAGGGGACACCAGAAATGGGCTTCACACATTGTACCCATTTGGGGAATCGAACTCGGGTCTTCGGGGTGATAAGCAAACGCTTTAACCACTAGGCTACCAATATATTGGTATTGTATGTTTGTAGGTTGTGTGTTATAGTATTTTGATTGTAGTGGTTGTGGAGACAGCTTTAACCCATGTGACGTATTCTTTGGGTTAGGTTTTGATATGTCGCAAAATCAGTATTTGGATGATAGTGAGCATTTAATGCTGCTTTGAACTGTATTCCACTTATATCACTGCATGTTTAATGAGGGAGGGAAGCCTGGAGTGATGCATGTCTGAGACATTTTAGTTGAATGATAGAGCTGGGTTTATTGTTTATGTATTTTTATAATTCTTCAAATATGACTTTATATTTGTTTTTAGTTTAGTATATTTAGTATTTTTAGTATAGTTCATGCTCATACATATTGCTAGTGAGGTGTTTTTTTGTGGATTTTTGTGGGGGTTGTTTTTTAAATACTTGTTGATATGGTTTTCTTTGTTCTGGGGGTGGTGGGGTAGCCTAATGGTTTGATCATACGTTCGTCACACTAAAGACCCAGGTTCCATTCCCCACATGGGTACAATGAGTGAAGCCCATTTCTGATGTCCCCCGCAGTGATATTGCTGGAATATTGCTGAAAGTGGTGTTAAAGCATACACACTCACTCACGTTGATGTCCTGTTTTGAAATGATCACTAGAAATGAAATCTTAAGTTAAGTCATGTTACATGATAAGTTAACCTGGTACCTGCAGTATGAAGTGAAAGTCCTCCAGTGAAAGTTAATTACACAGTCTGAGGGACATAAAATCAATAAACACACACCATATCACTAACAGCTAGGGACACATGTTGAAGTTATGAAGTATTTTATGTTTTTGATGATAAGCTTATTTTGAGATAGTGTTTAAATGTCAGTGTGCCCTGCTCACTACAAGATTCTTTCTGACTGATGTTTTCTAATGTTTCATATGTTCATATCAATGGAACATTATTTAATTCATTTACAGTGTCTTTACACAATGTAGACAGAAATAAATATTATTTAGACTTAAGCCTTTATAATATAGCTCAAACACTGATCTATGGAATGGGAAAAGCAAATATTAACCAAATTTATAGTTAAAAGTTAAAACTGATAGAGCCATATGATTTTAAATTTTAATTTTAATTTTTTTTATTAACATATAGTTTTGAATGTTTTGCAGTCAAGTAACTGTAAAATGAATAAACATTAAGATACAAGACAGGTAAATATTACAGTTTTCAAAACATCATTTTTTAAATATATTTACAATGGGTGAGTAGTTTTGTGAGCCTTTAATATTACAGTTTTCAAAACATCATTTTTTAAATATATTTACAATGAGTGAGTTTAGTTTTGTGAGCCTTTTTAGCAATATTTCAGCATTATCACCACAGGGACACCAGAAATGGGCTCATTTTACTCATGAGGGGAATCGAACCCAGGTCATCGGCTTGATGACTGAACACTTTAACCACTAGGCTACCACTAGGATGTGTACAGTTTCATAACTATGATATCATATCGATGAGATGATATCATACAGGTAAAGGCTGCGTTCCTTCATGATGGTAACCATCACAAATTACTTCTATTTTTGGATAAGTGAGGATGTTACCATGGTAACATTGTTCTGTCTAGGGTCAGAAGTTGAGTAAATTGGCTTATAAGTGGCCTGGGAACAAACGAAGCAATTAATGATCTATTGAGGTTATTGTTTGCAAGCAGTGTCATACTACATATGTATGTGCTAACAATCTTGGCCTAATTATGAAATTAGTGTCTTTAAGATCGTGTCTATACTATTACTGTAGCCACTCCTGATGCTAAACAGGCTGTCTGAGCAATTTGTTTCAAGTCTCCGCGGACTACTCGGTGTATAAACTTGATCACTTGTAGGATGTGATTCAGTTCCCAGATCACCCTAAATAATACAGCGAAACTTTCTTCATCCCACACACAGGACTAATGACAACACGAACATCAAGGTTTCAGATTAATAAAATAATGGGCAATTTCAGAAAATTGATTGTCATTATAAAGAGACTTCATGAACTGTGATATGCCCCCTAGAAGGAAAAGGGGTTTAATTGTTTATTAGAAGGACAAATATATTTGAATTGGATCAGTTTTCTTTCCTAAACCTAAACTTTAAGTGGACTGTTCTTCAAATGATCGCATCTAGTTCTTTTTGGTAATTAGCAAGAAGAAAATATATAAGAGAATATGTTTCTTATTGAAATAACAAATTGTCAGATTTGATGTGTCCACAATTCTGGACATCTTTAATGGGGAATTTCAGTCACAATGGCTGTTGGGTATGAATCATATCTCAAAGGTCTACAAATAGGGAAAGTATGAATCATATCTCAAAGGTTCATCTTGTAGAGACTTACAATAGGGAAAGTCTGACTCTACTGATTCCACAGTTTTGGAAATAGAAGCAATAAAAGATTGTTTTCCAATTTTCCTATTTAACTGACTCTTTTCATTATTAATGGTTTTGTTTGAATTCTTTTTGCTTTCCCTGAAGTGTTTTGTGATATATGTGTATTCTTTATCTTCAGAAGTTGCATTTGTCTTCTAATACAAACACAAGACAATCAAAATGACCAAGGAAGGTGAAGAAACTGTTGTTGAGCAAGTTGCTGCAGTCCCGGAGGGTGAAGACATCAAGACAGCAGATCCTGTTACTGAGGAAAAACCTACTGATGACACCACCATAGGGGAGACAACTGCTGATGACACAGCCACAGGGGAGACAACTGCTGATGACACAGCCACAGGGGAGACAACTGCTGATGATGCAGCCACAGGGGAGACAACTGCTGAGGCTCAGAAAGATGAGACTGCAGCAGAAGAAAAGACAGCTGACTCAGGTGGAGCTGATGAAGAGACACCAGCTGAAACTACAGAAACCAAAGCTGAGGTAAGCCATGATTAGTAGTGAGTGAGTGAGTTTAGTTTTACGCCACACTCAGCAATATTCCAGCTATATGGCAGTGGTCTGTAAATAATCGAGTCTGGACCAGACATTCCAGTGATCAACAGCATGAGCATCAATCTACGGGATCTATTGGGATACAATGACATATGTGTTAACCAAGTCAGCGAGCCTGACCACCCGATACTGTTAGTTGCCTCTTACGACAAGCATGGGTTACTGAAGATCAATTCTAACCTGGATCTTCATGGGTCGCCATGATTAGTTTCACATTGACACTTATGTGAATTTTTGGGAATACTGAATTGTTCACATAATGAAGTTGATTCATTATTACATTATTGTTTGTTGTTTAACGCTGCACTCAGCAGTTACAAAGCTATATTACTGCAGTTTGTAAATTAGTGAGTCTGGACCAGACAATCCAGTGATTGACATCATGAGTATTGAAATATATGGTACGATGACATACATCAACCAAATCAGCAAGCCTGACCAATGATGATTGTTTTTTAAAGAAAATGATATATCTGTTTGTTTCTCAATAGTATATGATTTGTTCACCTTTCAGGAAACACCTGCACCAGCTGAGGAGAATTCCAGCCCAGCAGACAGTACACCAGCTGCAGAATCTTCAGAGACAAAAGAAGCACCTGACTGTACTGATGGTGAGAAAACAGAAGAAACAGCAGCTGCAACAGAAGAAACACCAGCAACCACAGAAGAAAAATCAGAGGAAGCACCAGCTGCAACAGAAGAAACACCAGCTGCAACAGAAGAAAAATCAGAAGAAACACCAGCTTCTACAGAAGAAACACCAGCTGCAACAGAAGAAACACCAGCTGCAACAGAAGAAACACCAGCTGCAACAGAAGAAACACCAGCTGCAACAGAAGAAACACCAGCATCTACAGAAGAAACACCAGCTGCAACAGAAGAAACACCAGCTGCAACAGAAGAAACACCAGCTACCACAGAAGAAAAATCAGAGGAAGCACCAGCTGCAACGGAAGAAACACCTGCTGCAACTGAAGAAACACCAGCAGCAGAAGAACCAAAAGAGTCATCAGGTGAGACAACTGAAAGTCAAGGAGACACTGCAGAAAAGACAGTTGAAGAGACACCAGCTGCAGCTGAAACTGAAATAACAGAAACGCCAGCAGAAGAAGCTGCAGAAGCAGCTGTAACTGAAACAGCAGCAGAGGCTGCAGCTGCACCTCCAGCAGAATCAGCAGGTGAGGCTGACAGTAAGGAAGAAACAGAACAGACTACAGAGTCATCGCTGACAGACCCTGATGCTGAGAAACAAGCATTCCAGGAACTTGTGGACAAGAATGCTGAACTAAAACAAGATGCCAGCTCTGCGAATGAGGCACAAGAGACTCTCACCAAGTCCATGGATGAGAAGGAGATGGAGATTGAGAAGCTTAAGGCACAACTGCAGAAGGAACAAGAGGAGAAGAAACAGCTGGAGTCTCAAGTGGAAACATTGAAGGAATATGAAGAGTGGGGACAGAATAACGGGGATAAACTGAAGGAAACTCAGAAAAAACTTGTCACATTTGCAAACGATAATGAAGAAAAAGATAAGAAAATTTCTTATCTGGACAAGGAGCTTGCCCTGACCAACTCGAAACTGAAGGTGGCAGAGGAACAGATCAATGCTAAAGGCAACGAGGGAAAGCCTCCCCAGTCCAGGACCTGTTCCATTATGTAACTTCACGAGATCAAAGTATTCTGATGCAAAAAAGGTTTCTGGACATGTTCTGGATACGATCACTTCAAAAGGAACTATGATATTTATTTTGTAATTTATATTCTGAAGAACAATACTTTTCTTCCTTGTTCTTGAAGGAAGTTGAACTGACTATTTCTGTTTTCCGTCAAGGTCAAGGAGAACATTGCTGTGATACCGTCCATGGTCTGTGATGTGTGATGTTTGTGTTGCCTTGTACATTCATCAAGATGTGACTGTAAAGTTCTTCACTTCATCTCACCCTCTGTTTTACCATTGTCAGGGAAAGAAGTAAAGTCAGTATGGTTTCATTTTTATTGTTGCAGTATTTTTCCTTGCTTTCTGTCAAGGTTGAAGTTTCCACTGTTGTGTGGTTTCATTATACGTTACACAGGCTATGGATACGATTGTTGACTTGGCTACGTACTGAATAGCAGAATACTTCAAAGATTGCTTACAAATGAATGAAATATTTACTGCACACAATTCAGTTGAACAGTTGGCATCAGTCATTATTTTCTGAACTGGTTAGGCTTCCAAGTGATAGAAACTTGTTACACATGCTCTGATAAAAATTTCCATCTTGGTAGCATGAAATTGCTTTTGAAGTAAATCTGTTATTGAAAAATAACTTAAGCAAAAGGATATCACTCTTTTGTTCAATAGAGAATAAGGCAATTTTTGATGAAACAAAAGTTCTTAATTTGAACAGATTGATATACATCAATGTTCTTTAACTCATTTCCATTCTTGACAAAAGAATGGAGGATTATACAATGAAAACGTTGATCTATGCTAGTGTCATGATTCAAGATGACTATAACAGCTATAGATTATATTCACAAGCCCTGCATCAGAGGTCATGGTCAAGGTCAAACTCTTATCTGGATGAACATCTTGACATACTTTGTTCTTGATGGACATGAGGACATGCTCTGTCCTAGATGAACATCTTGAACACTGTTTTTGAGGGACATCATATACAATTTGTCTTTGACAGACATCCTGACAAACAGTGTTCTTGAGGGACATCTTGACAAATTCTTGATTGACAAAATATGAAGGTCACAAATTTGAGGAGGCTCCAATCATTAATTGGTGTATTTTGTTGCAATTGGTGAACAAAACAGATTCAAACAACAAAACATGTTCCCATTCTGGCTGTGTTACAGGAACATACAAAGACATAGGACTATTAACGGATGATGATGATGATGATGATGATAATTAAGCTACATGTGTCATAAAATGTGTCTGACACTGTTACAGAGAGAAACATCCCTGCACTGTTGCCAGATATATCATGTATATCTTATATCATGTATATCATATATCATGTATATCATTGATAGCAATTACTTACAAGGACTTATTTCATATATTTTTACATATCATCGGATTATACGTTGTTGGGCACCTTAAGTGTTCGGACGGTGGTGTTTACTCTCTCAATACTGAGGCAGGTTTGTCCCACTCTTGTAAATACTAGGATGATAGCCTGTGTTTAAGATGACCTTGTTTTCCATAAGTTAGTGACATAATTTAAAACTGTTGATATTTGAGAAAAAAACAGATGTTCTTAAGCATAAAAAAAACAGTAACTCATAGATATATACTATACTACCTATCTTTTGAAAGGGTTAACGAGATGTGTCATTCTGTATAAACATACACTAGACAAATTAAGAGAGTCGTTTTTGTATATCAGGGCGAGAAATATCGATATCAAAAGTACAGTAGTAAATAATCACTTGTTTTCTGGACAAAAGTCAAAAAAAATAAAAGAATGGAATGTTTAGACCGAATAAGAAAATATTCTGGTTTGTAAGCTGATCAAATGAAGCATGTGTCAAACTACTTAACTATTGTAAAACATGCCCTAAGACAGATTTAAGTATTTGACACTGACTGCAATAGAGCAGAACAAATGTTTTCATGCGATAAAATTTCAATGACATTGTAATGTTCAATTCCTTTGTATGACAATCAATAGAATACTATAGGAGATTTGTTTTTGTAGATTCTTTTTGACATTTGTATATCATAATTTTACAATCCTACAGGGCTTCCAAATCTTAAAATTTCAAATAAAAAAGATCATAATATTTTAGGTATCATTCTATCAGAGACAACTTCCCCTCAACCCCACATCAGGGCTCATGAAACCATTATATATAACAGCTACTGTTAAAGGTAGAATTGTTCAAATCTTGTGTCCAATCGTGTCAATTGTGTCCAATCTACAAAGTGATCTTACACTAAGACTTTCATCCACACTAAAACTGTGTCCCACCTAAGGTGTTCATATTTTGTGAGGTGTGGATTACATAAGATCTAAAACTTGTAATAATTATCAAATGTGATGTATATATAAACTCAAATCTAATGCTGATTTTCTGCTCATTTCACAATGCAATATTATACGTATACCTACTTCATTTTATCATGTATGCACACACAAGTATGCATTTAATTTATGTTATTAATTTAGATCATTTACTTAATGAAATATTACTTAATACTAAAACCTTGTTTATCCAGACTGAAACTCAGTCTGATCAAAAGTCTGTATTAAGGAATCATGTAAATTTAGAACTGTTCTTTTAAGGATATATTACTCAAAAGAAGGTATGAAATCCTAATTCTTTCATATACTACAGTAATATATTATTACTCTTTCCTTTTGTTTACCTGTTGTGCCATGACAGATTAACTGATAGTAATGTGAAAGAATTGCATTTTCTTAAACTGTCATCCCACAACATATTGGCTGTAGTAATATGAAAGAATCTGGTGTTCTTTAACATTTGGGGGTATTATGTTTTAATATACCCAATTACAATTGAACATTTCTGTTTCCAGACTAACAGGATTTCGCAGAAAAGATGTTAAGAATGTCATTTTAATGCTCACAGTTTGAACTGACATACCTGTGATTTTCTCCTGTAATTTGTAAATCAACATTACTTTTTGTATATATATTTTTAGCATTATATTTATCTGTGATAAGAGAAGGTAAAGTTTCCATGAAACAGCCTTTCTTTTGTGTGAGTTTAATTTTGTAACAAATCTGTTTGTTGATTGTTGAAAAGTGAAAATGTGATATTAAGTCATTTTTAATTTATTGAACCTGTCACGGTTATAACACTGTTTTGGTGTTATGAAACAGTGTATTAGTTTGCTTTTTTTGTTAACAAATCCTCTGTTGAATAAATGTGATATTAAGTCATTTTTAATTTAGCTATACCATGCTGTTTTGTATGGTGATTTGTTTACTGTTTAGTCCTCTTTGAATGACAACTATACCATGCTTTGTAGTGAATTTAGTCTTTGAATGACAACTTCAGTGAGTGAGCAAGTTTGTTTTATGCCACCTTTAGCAATATTCTAGCAATATCACAGCAGGGGACACCAGAAATGGGCTTCACACATTGTACTCATGTGGGGAATCGAACCTGGGTCTTCGGTGTGATGAGCCAACACTTTAACCACTAGGCTACCCCACCGTCCCAATGGCAGATAGAAGTGATATGCATTACTGGAAAATTTGACATCCATAAAAGTTCCCCCCTTTAATTTGACACAGCCATACAACAGCATCCTATTTCGGATTCAGGTGTTGAATTCATCCTTAGTAACCAATAGTGATTGATTGAGTGATGATTGAGTGAGAGGTTTTATGCCGCTTTTAGCAATATCCCAGCAATATGAGGGTGGGAGATACCAGAAAAGGGCTTCCTTCATTGCACCCATGTGGGGAATTGAACCTGGCTCCTCAGAGTGACAAGCCAACACTTTAACCACTAGACTTCTGTCTCACCCAGTAACCAACAGGTGAGGTGAGGTGAAATTGGGTTTAACGTCGTGCTTGTGCGGCTGCTTGTACTAGCCCAGACTGAAGCTGGTTTTATAGTGCTAGCCCACTGAGATACCATGCCGCAGTGAAGCATGAATACCCCACTCAGACACATTATACCGACTCCGAGCCGACCAGTCCTTGTTGTACCCATTAATGCCGAGCGCCAGGCAGGGACCAACAAGTACCATATTTTAACGTCTTTTGGTATGACACGTCGGGGATCGAACCCGCGACCTTCCGCTCTCAGTAGTAACCAACAGAGGTTGATGAGGCAACTAAAGGGATGGGTTGGTCACGCTTGTTGACTTGATTGTATGTCAACAAACACTGATGGTGTTGATTCACTGCACGTAATAACTGCAGGTCCAAACTTGATTATTTATTGATTGAAGTTATCTTGTTCAAATGTTGTTAAGCGTAACAATTGGAGAGAAAAACTTCTTTGCTTGCATGCCTGTCATTTTTGTCAAATGTGTTTCTTTGAGACTGAACAGTCTGTCTGAAACTTTCTTTCGCTTGTGTATGGGGTGGTGGGGTTTGTTTTTTAAATGCTTGATATGGTTTTCTTTGATGTCCTGGGGGCAGTGGGGTAACCTCGCTGTTAAAACGTCTGCTCATCATGCCGAAGACCCGGGTTCGATTTCCCACATGGCTACAATGTGTGAACATATCAACCCTCACGCCTGAGTGAGATGACCCAAAGCAGGTTTGATATTTAATATTTACTTTGAGTGGCACACATATTGTCATGGTCTGGGATTATATGGCTATACTGTTGGGTGCTTTGTTTTCTGGTCACTAATCCACCATCTCTTAACACAAGCGGTCTTGGATTGAAGTCTTGACAGTTTTGATGACACCCTCAGTGTCTATCCACATAGGACAGTCCATATTCTCAATTGACAGTCAGCACCTCCAGTCATTCCCAATTCTCTTCGTGGATAGTAAGTCTCTTTCAGAAGGAGCATCTAACATCATATCTAGTATGTCTCACAGTCCCTGAACCACATTATTTTCCCTTCTGCAAGTCCTTTCTGCAATGCTAAAGCCCTAAATGAAGCAAGTCTAGATTTCCTCAGATTCTGAATCTCCTTTCTCACTGGGGCTCCTTTAGAATTTAAAAGGAATGGTTTGTTGCTATCAAAATTATATATATTCAGGGAGTATTAGTATAAGGGGATACAGGCAGCGCAAATGTATGACTTTCATATTTTCATGTCTGTTGATGAACTTCTGAATGACTTGATGTCACATTGTTATTGGATGGACAGTTCTGCAATTGGTAACATTTTTATTGTGTTGGTACCAATAACATTGTGTATAAAGTGAGTGAGAGAGTTGCTTTAACCAATAGGCTACCCCACTGCCACAGTGGCAGTTAGAAGTGACGTGTATCACACGAAAATTTGACATCCATAAAATTTCCCCTCTTTAATCTGACACATGCATACAAACATCCCATTTCGGATTCAGGTTTAGAATTCATCCCCAGTAACTAATAGAGTGAGTGAGGTTTTATGCCCCGCTTTTAGCAATATTCCTGCAATATCACTGCAGGGGACACCAGAAATGGACTTCGCAAACTGTACACATGTGGGAATCAAACCCAGCTCTTCAGCGTGACGAGCAAATGCCTTAACCACTAGGCTACCACAGGGCCCCTTGTGTATAAAGAGCTTTGAATAGTATCCCTATCATGTCATGTCTATCAGCTCAGTGGGATGACATCAGATGTATTTAAGTGGTCTGACCTTAGATCTGGTTTTAATGAGCTTGCAGCAAT